GGCCTAGTGTTAACGTGAGACTCTTACAAGAATGAAGCCCAGCTCTGATGATGTCCATCATATGATGAAGAAAAGCTCAGTACGTTTTCACCCGAAACGAGGGAGGTCTTGTGGACTGCGTCAAAATAAATATCATATAAAAGCCAAACGGCTGCAGTACAACGGGATTCAACTGACCTCAGACTATTTATTCATAGAAAACAAACTGAGACTCAAAACTAATGTTTAGTTCTTACAAAGCCGTGAACACAAAATATGAGAGTACTTTTGCTTTAAAAATAAGTCAAACACTTGCAAAATATGTACTTCTGGAATTCTAAATGATTGCACAAAGGAGTAACTAGGACCATTTTTAGTATTGAAACAGGTATGGTGCCGAAATATCTGAAAAGTAAAACTTCTATAACTGGGACTTGAGATTATTCTAGAATTCCTAACGTAACTGGCAGAGGGCGTACGCACTCATCCATTTCGCGTTACAATTCGGCCAGTGACCTAGTACCGACAAGCCAAAAAAAACAAATCGGAATGTCTCGCAATTACAACTTGTTGGGTTCAGATCGTTTAGAGCCAAGACTTTCAACAAAATTCGAAAAGATTACTACTATTGTAACGAAAATGTAGGGATAGCTTTGATTGTCTGAAGAGATTAAAGCTGGAATTCGTAAAACTCGAGTGATAAAGGCCCTCGAAAAGAAGAGGCATTTATTTTAAAATCTTAATCTAATACAAGCGTTATCTGAGTGCATTTCGATTTTCGATTGCCTGAAGAATCAATGCTAGCAGATCAGAATAAAAATTCATACAAAGATGATTTATACATCGTTTATATTTAGTTAGTTCAAATCTGACAGATAAGAGATGCTCATTAGCACCATGTAGCGTCTGCACACATCGAATATATGTAGAACAGAGCAATAAGAGAATTAAATTCTGAATGCTTCAGAGTAAAGTAAAATTAGCGCGATAACAAGTGAATGGGCTCGGAGCGAGATCTAGTATCGTCACGATTATTTTGAAAGACGGAAGCACAATGTTCAATTATTCACTAAAGAAATCGAGGATTTACACGAAGTCAACGATTCTCTGCAGAGTCCAGGCTACTAAAATGAACTTAGTAGCTAAGTATGCCGTGACAAATGAATGAGCCAAAGTGAAAGATTATCATTTTGGCGTATATATATGTGTGTGTATGTGTAGTGAGAGAAGTAAAGAGAGAGGAGAAAGAGCTGTGTATGTAGTATAAGAGTGTCAAGGGGAACAAATCAAAGACTTTATCAAGTGTCCTCCCGGACCCCCAGGTGCGGACCTGTTGGCTGCAGCATGCTGTTGGTCTTGATCGTTGGGGTTAGAGGGGTTAGTTGGAGAAGTAAAGGGTCCTAGTAGAATATCAGAGGCATCTGGCTCAGAAGAAGTATTGACAAATGGCTGAGGGGATACTGAAGAGGAGGATGAACCTAAAGGGATTCGAGATGTATTTAGCTGTAGAAGCATAGGTGGTAAAATCGGACTGATGGATACAGGTGCGGGGACGGAGGCTTGTGAGGAAGTGGCAGCAGATACAGGGGCACTGGATGTTGGTGGGGTGCAGTTAACAGAAGATGTAGGGCAAGGGAAGCTAGGAGGGGTTGCGCTGACTTCATCAGGAGGAATTAGTTGGTATATGATCAAATATTCTGGGTAGGCTTGCTCCCCACGGTAGATAACATACTCAGCATAATTGAGGCCTCCTGCGCTAGGTCGGCCAACAATTGAGTGATGCCCGGGAGGGGCGTGAGCTACTTTCATGGCGTTGAATTGAATGAATGAACGGCCAAGTGCCACGCGGCAAAGAAGCATTTGTCGAGGACAGACATAACAGGAACGAGATTTATGTGAAGGGCATCCAGCCCCGCCACCAATGCCATAAACGTACTAAGAAACATTACAAGAAAATGATCACAAAAGAAATAAGTGGATACAAATACTAATAAATAAACTCACTAAAAGAATATGGGAGGACTTAATTCAGTCAAAAATTAAGCAACTAAATTGGCAGAAAAAAGGCCATTTAAATGAACATTTAGGAGCTATTAAGCGAATATAAGCTGAGCGCGACTTCATATCGGCGAAATAACAATGAATTTTACTGTATGATCATAAGTAGTGTTTTATTTAAAACTGAAAATGAAACAATCGTAGACCTTGCCCCACAAATTGATCAACGCTAATAGACAAATAGAAATTTTTAAAATTTATAAATCTAATTATCATTGTATCATTTAGGTAGATATGTGTAATGTAATAATACTCTTACATTACCGGAATGATGCCTTCAGCTAAAGATATATTTGTTTAGAACGCTTGGAAAGAAACTAGATTATGCTGCTGACATAAGGATTGACTAAATAGGTAATAATTAATCAAAGTTATGAAGT